TGACTTTGGAATGGCGAGAGATCTTGGCAAAGATAAAATTTATGTCAGGAGGTCCAATGTAAGTAAGCATGTACCCACTAACAGGTACAGTGAGTGCGTGCTGCTCCCCCTCACCCCTCCCTTCCGCGACCTTTCAAATTCGTTACTTCTCAGACTTTATAACATCGATCCTAGTATCTCAAACTTATGGAAGTTAGAAATTTTTTGACAACTGAACTTACAAAACACTCATTCTGGTTCTATGTTAAATTTTTATTGCGTTATTTCATAGGGAGTTGTACCAGTGAAGTGGATGGCAGTTGAATCACTAACAAAACAAGTTTTTACCCCAGAAAGTGATGTGTAAGTAGATTGGTTAGCTTGAAGTAAAAGTGATAACACTTTCCAAAGGAATATTAACTCAGCGCCCTTTTTAAGAATTCAATGCCTCTTTAGCGTGAAATCAAATCTTCATGTTTCCCGCCCGACTGTTTCCTGCTGAGCAGTAACCTGATCATGCAAGAAAGCGAGAAAAGTTCTTTGTATGGGATAGATTTTTCGATGGTCTACATTACAAGAGACTCTTCGCAAACTAAAAATAGTGATAATCGTCTGAGACAGATAGCGGTAATATAATACAAATATTTTTTTTTTGTCTTTCCTTTTTTTTTAGGTGGAGTTATGGAATCGTCCTACATGAGATATTCACCCTCGGTAACTGGAATTTTTCTAGGTTTTTGGGAGACTTGAGGTTATTTGGAGTCGGAGTAAGAATAGTAAGATGGCAGAGAAAGCCAGAGGAAAACACGATATCAACCTAACTAGGTCACTTCTTGTCGAGGAGGCCTGACAATCACCCGTGTCGGGAGCTGATTATAGACTGTTAAACTGGAATTTCGAATGCGATCGTGGGGGGCTGCAAACAGAAAGTATCATTGTGATCAATCGGATGTGGGTAGTCCTGGAAAGAACAATGCGAGTGAAAGTCATCATCAGAGGTCTCTGTGACGGAGATTCGAGGATGTTGATAAGTCAACCATTGTCACTGACAACAATCCTTTCCAGAACTACTCTAATCTAGACGTGTAGACTACACAATCAACTGCTGCTTAAGGTTTCAAACCTTTCACTCTACTAAAAAGAAAATTTGCAAGTCTGTTATTACTCAGTACTATCTTTTCTACAGAACCTTTTTCTTCAGCTTTCTGAGAGCTGACATCTTTTAAGTTCTTCGCGAGCATACAAACTTCTACTCTTTTTCTGAGTCAAATACGCAGTGTTTTTTATCTTTGCAGGGGGGAACCCTTACGATGGAATGAGCGGACAAGAAGTCTTTA